ATATAATTTCTTTTTGCCTTTTTATAAAAAAAAAAAAAAAAAAACTACACTTTTTTTTTTCCATAGTTTCAGTTTTAATTAACGATAACACTGTTCAGAAATGAGTGATTTGAGAGAGTCATCATAGTGCGCCATACAAATAGTAATTGAGTCCAGCAGGTCAGTCAGCTAATGACAGGATTCTCTAATAAACATAAAATACAAAACACAACCGAGGCCGTTGAAAACTTTACATCTGGCGACATACAGCAGGCAGAAGCGTGTCGTTTCATACTGTAGTTCATCGTGTGAGTATGTGAACTTCAGCATGATTTATTAAACTTTCCTCATCTGTATTCCTGACGTCCTCATAACATAAACCGATACGATAATCTGAGGGACGTTTGATCAAAACAGTGAAGTCACGGTGGATCAGGGAGAGATGAGACGCCTGCAGCCAATCAGATCAGCTCAGATGCGCTGCTGCACTGTGATTGGCTGATGCTGTTTGAGGAGCTGATCTGTCTTCATGAGACGCCTGCAGCCGCTTTACTCTCTTAACCAGACAAACTCAGCCAGTCCTTCTGGAAGCGGAGAACGCAAGAAACAGCTGGATCTCATGCAATCACCTTAAAATCAAAAGAAAGAAGGAAGACATGATATCGAGACTCTTCAAACTAATTAACTGTAAAAGAAGAATCACAGACGCTGTATGATGATGTAAAATCTAAATTTCCAAAAATTGACCCTTAAGTCTGGTTTTGTTGTCCTGGGTCACATATTACAATCAGTGTTTTAATACTATATAATACTGGATACTGGGTAGTGAATGCTAAGGATAAATGAACAGATATTAGGTTAAACTCTGTCTCAGTATATGAGGGAAAGTGCATATATTCCTCCTGAGACGAGCCCTTAGTAGACAGCAGGCGGTTCACTAGTTCAGGAACAGATCGCTGGTTTCAGGTCAGCAGACAGCAGCTGTAAAACGCTGCGTGGGCATGAATATGATGATATGGACATTTGGCTCCATATAATATCGTATGATAGCGATGCTTCATACGGGACAGTCACTTCAGCGGCGCTCAGGGCTATTTTTGTGAGTCATTTGGCGCTCTATTGGCAGATAATGTTAGTGCAACTCAGCAGCAGCGGAAAGTGAGTGTATTTCTCACAGAAAGTGTTCAGGATCGCTCTAACATACTGAAACCTGAAATAAAAATAACTCATATGAGGGCTATGCTACACATACAGATAAAAATATGAATGTTTTGCTGGTTTAAGTTCATTGCAGGCCGTTTCAGAGGGCAGTTTTTACAGTATGGCGTTATTAAAAAGACAAAAAAATAACGTTGCATTGATGCTGCATCTGTTTTTATTTCCCGTAGTGAGTTTTATTACATTAAAACTCCTCCTTTTGGTGGTTTACTTATAGTTTTAATTAGTTTTAAACTTGATGTTGACAATCTAGTCACATCAGATTAATGTTTTAGATTAATGTGTTGCATGCACATAAACCTCTACAAATAACAAGCACAAAAGTCCAGCAATTAAACCTGTTGCTGAATATTGATTATAATGAAGATACAGTATGAGAGACGCGCTACATCCTCAGATTTCAACTTTCAAAGTACCTCGATGAAAACCAATCATTCTCGTTTGTTGTTGATCGATTAGTCAGTGTTTAAAGGGACAGTTCACCCAAAAATGGAAGTTCTGTCATTGTTTACTCTCCCTCACGTTGTTCCAAATCTGTTTCTTTCTTCTGTGGCGCACAAAAGAAGATATTTTAAATAATGTTGGGAACCAAACCGTTGACGGCAGCCATTGACTTCCCTTTAATATGAAGTCAGTGAAGGAATAGTTCACTCAAAAATCGAAATGTGCTGAAAATGTGCTCACCTTCAGGCCATCCAAGATGTAGATGAGTTTGTTTCTTCATCAGATTTGGAGAAATGTAGCATTGCATCAGTGTCTCAGCAATGGATGCTCTGCAGTGAATGGGTGCCGTCAGAATGAGAGTCCAAACAGCTGATAAAAACATCACAATAATCCACAAGTAATCCACAGCACTCCAGTCCATCAGTTAACATCTGGAGAAGACAAAAGCCGAAACAAATCCAGCATTAAGACGTTTTTAACTAAACAATATAAGTCCATAATCCATAATAACACTTCCTCCAGTGAAAAAGTGCATCTGCTGTTGTCTCTCACATTAAAATCCAGCCACATATGTGTTTATCTGTGCAGATTTCTCTCCTGATTCACACTAGACCACTTTTTCACTGGAGGAAGTGTTATTATGGATTATGGACTCATATTTTAGTTAAAAACGTCTTAATGCTGGATTTGTTTCATCTTTTGTCTTCTCCAGATGTTAACTGATGGACTGGAGTGCTGTGGATTACTTGTGGATTATTGTGATGTTTTTATCAGCTGTTTGGACTCTCATTCTGACGGCACCCATTCACTGCAGAGCATCCATTGCTGAGACACTGATGCAATGCTACATTTCTCCAAGAAACAAACTCATCCTAATCTCGGATGGCCAGCTAATTTCATTTCTGGCTGAACTATTGCTTTAACTTGAAGCGGCAAAAGCGAGTGTTTTGAAGTTTGATTTCTGTTTGCTTCGTCCAGCACTGAACATGAATTCCGTGTTTGTGTTTGATGCTCTGTGAATCAATGAAACCCTCTGAAGATGTTCAGGGCACTGATGTTGACTCAAGGTTGCCCATTTTTAAGAGTTTTCTTCTAATCAGTCAGTGCTTCAGATGTCTGCAGTACATTAACAGACATTTAGATGCTCTCAGATGGTGTTTACGCTGCGGGTCAGTCCACGTATTCGCTCCATAAACCGTAATATGAAGGTGAATGTCAGTCTGGTTCTTTGTATTTCTAACATGTTGTGTGTGAATCTTTGATGCCTTCATCCATAACAAAACAACTTGAAGATGGACTGCTGCAGAATCATGTCCTAAAGCTTTGACTTACTTCAGATCAATACGGGAAGAGCGGTGGACTAAACACATCAGAAACAGTCATATCTTTTAACCTGTGATTACTCAGAAATCATTTAAAAGGTTTGTTTTCTGTCTAGCTACAGTAAGTACATGCTTTTAGTGGAAGAATAAAGTTTCTTCAACTATTGGATTGCATCTTTAAGCATTTCAGTGTATTGTAAACCGTCATGTTTCTTTTAGATTAACTTTCTTGTCTTTGTGTTATCATAAAGGAGTGATGCACTTTTCCAGAAATATGACTATTAGCCAATAAGGTAACATTTGACTCCTGCAAAAATATAAGAAAACAGATCCAAATAGATGGGCAGCCGGGGTTGTTATTGTAAACTAAAACTAAATCTATTGAAATAAAGTTAATAAAATATAAATAAACTATAAAAAAGCTTTAAAAACTAAAATGAAAGAAGGTGAATGTTACTAAAACTTAAATAAAATAAAGCTAAATATTAATGTATTTAAAAAAAATGTCAAAAGCATATAAAATTGCTAAAATGAAATTAAAATCTAATTTAAAATAGAAATAATATTTATTCTTTTTTTCATAGATAGAAAAATGGAGGATGTTTGATGTCTGTTATAAAAGTATGTTTACTGAACAGTTTCATTGTTAAATAAAACTATACAAAATAAATTGTTTATTAAAATGACGTAATAAATAAAATAAAATAATAATATTAGATGAAAACTGAACTGAAATAAGTTTAATTTTACTAAAATAATTAACCAAATTAAAACTAAAATAAAAATAAAGCTAAATATAAATATGAAAAACAAAAAGCACATAACAAAATTACTCAAATTAAAGTGAAAGTTGAAAAATAACTTAAAATATTAATAAATGCTATAATAATATTTAAATAACACTACTGGCAACAACGTGGACATCCATCAGCAAATGTTAGTGTTTTAGCATGTGAACTTTTATTGCATTTATGCGTGTGATTTTTCAAAAATATGACAATAATAAGTGAATGAATGAATATAGTAATGTTTGACCCTGGCCAAAAAAAATAAATTGCATAATGGAAGTATATGGCAAAACAAATCTGACAGCGGTGTTTAAATTGACAGTGTTAGTGTGTTGTGCTTTGCATTTATTCTTATTTATAGATAGAAAAATAGAAAGAGCGTAACATTTGGACGTTAGATGCATGCAATAAAATTCACTGTTCCCATAAAACTGAACCTGAACTACCACAACGAGATGTTCAAAGCCTTGTCGTCTCTCTCGGACCCAAGCAGAACGTGATCATGAAGAAACGTCTGAATCTCTGAGCTGCTGATTTCATCTCTCATCTGCATCCATCGGAGATGTGTTTTCAGTCATGGCTGTTGAGCGTGTGTTTTGCTCTCCGGTCTCAGCAGACTCCCTGTTCAGCGGCCTGGGCCTCGGCGCGGTGGTGGGGCTTGGCGTGGCGGCTCTTCTTCTGCTGCTGGTGCTGGTGGACATCAGCTGCTTCTTCCTGCGTCAGTGTGGCCTGCTCATGTGCATCACCCGCAAGCTCTGCAGCAAGAAGACCTCCACCAGCGGCAAGAGCAAAGAGCTGGAGGAGGGCAAAGCTGCGTATCTGTGAGTTCATCGGCGTTCGTTTGCATGAGTGCCGTCGGTTCTCGGTCCGTCCGTCTTTCTCGTGCGCTCGTCATTGCACTGGATCTTTCGTTAGATGCGATGGATGACTATTTGTGAGCCCTTACGAAAAAGAAGTTTATTCAAGTGTGCTATTAGTATACTTCTTTTAAACTAAACAATAGGAAAGTATACTTTCAGTCTAATTGTATGTACTTCTCAGACATAGGCTTTATGTACTTCTCAGAAATATACTTAAAGTGACATTTAATTTACTACTGTTATACTTAAAAGTATACTTTTATATACTAGAAAGTGGGCCAATTTAGTCCCAAGGAGTATTGAAATAGTACACTTACAAGTATACTACTAGTACACTGATATTTGTATACTTACTACATAAAGTATACTTAAAAATATACTTGAACTTTACTTAAGTATACTTAATAAAATAAACTTGAAGTATACTACTTTTTGGTAAGGGAGTATGTAGCAGCTGGTCAGACTAGAAGAATGGTTAGTGGGTCTTAGGATATGTTAGGTTGGTTTTGTCTTACAGTAAAAACGTTGCTCTAACATTGTTTTCTCAAACAACATCGGAGCATCTCCTTGAATCCTGAAGGATTTTGTATGTTTGAAGAATTTAATGTGCTGAAATTAATATTTTTATTCATCAAGAATGCATGAAATTGGTTAAAAGTGACCGTGGAGACATCTAGACAGATTTGTATTTCTAATAAATGCTGTCCTTTTGAGCTTTATATTCATCTGTGAATCCTGAATAAAATAAAATGCATCTGTTTCCACAAATATATTGGGCTGTTTTCAACATTGATAATAATCAGAAATGTTTCTTGAGCAGCAAATCAGCATATTAGAATGATTTCTGAAGATCATGTGACACTGAAGACTGGAGAAATTATGCTGAAAATACAGCTTTGGTCACAGAATTAAATTATATTTTAACATACATTCACAATGAAAACGGTTATTTTACATTGCAATAATATTTCACAATTTTTACTGTATTATTAATCAAATTCATGCAGCCTTGGTGAGCAGAAGAGACTAAGTAACGATTTACCAACCCCAAACATTTGAACAGTCACTGAGAGACGTTTGGTTGAAAAAACGCTGTCTTTGTGAGACCGTGTTTGCATCGTTTAGCATCATTTCAATGATTTTATAATCATTTTAACATTTACATTTGAAGGGCTGCTAATGAAGTCATCATCTGAATCTGATGATTGATAGAAACTGACAGTCATTATCTAATAACGAGGGTTGAATTCCACCCTCAACTTACAGTAAATTATTTCATAATATATTCCCATTACCATTAAACGCTATTAATAATATGCACATATAGATATGCAGTAATGGGCTCGTTTAATAACGTTCTGCTGAGTGAGTTCAGTAAATGATCAGACTTGCTTTAGCATTAGACAGACCTCATGAGATTCATTTGCTAATAAAAGACTGAATCTATTGATCTGTTTGCATTAGCGGCGCATTAAGTCCAGCGTCGGTGGGTTTACTGTCATAATCATCTTATGGAAGATTCTTTCAGATATTATTGCTCACATAGACAGTATGAAGTACTCGCTATAGTGTGATTAGCACTGAGACAGAAGTCAAAATAAAATGTGATTGAGATTAAGGAGCACATTATAACATGCCTTAGCATCTTTTTAAACTTGAGCATCTTTAATAGATACATGTAGACGATTGTGTTCAGAATGGAATACAATGTTTTATGAATAGTTCAGCCAAAAATTTAATTTGCTGAAAATGTGCTCACCCTCAGACCATCCGAGATGCAGATGAGTTTGTTTCTTCATCAGATTTGGAGAAATGTAGCATTGCATCAGTGTCTCAGCAATGGATGCTCTGCAGTGAATGGGTGCCGTCAGAATGAGAGTCCAAACAGCTGATAAAAACATCACAATAATCCACAAGTAATCCACAGCACTCCAGTCCATCAGTTAACATCTGGAGAAGACAAAAGCTGAAACAAATCCATAATTTAGATTTTTTTAAAACTCGAATCCGAGTCTATAATCCATAATAATGCTTCCTCCAGTGAAAAAGTCCATCTCACATAAAAATCCAGCCACATATGTGTTTAGAGCTGTTTAAACACTGCTTGATCTGTGCAGATTTCTCTCCTGATTCACACCAGAACACTTTTTCACTGGAGGAAGCTTGATTACGGATACAGGACTTGTTGCCGGAATCAATACATTGTTAAAAACACCTTAATGATGGATTTGTTCCCTACAAACAAGCAGCTTTTCTCTTCACAAGACATTTATTGATGTACTGGAGTGGTGTGGATGTCAAGATCATCATTTACGTCTAAAGGACTGCAGTCTGTCAGGTAAAACATGAGCTTATTAATGCATTCCAATCAATCTGCTGTTTTGTTCAAACTGTTACTCCTGGTCAGAGGCTTCTGCAAATATTTAGCTTATATTTAGAGTTACGTGACTAAGTTTAATGGCGCAATGCAAAAATATTTAGTAGTGTTTAAGTTTACTTAGCGACTTACTGGCCCTTTATGTCACAACTAGGCTAAGTTGTAACTTAGGTGCAGCCGACCACAGAAAACCAACTAACATTTTGCAGAAATGTTGCCGCAGGCACATTTTTCCAATGAGGCTGGATTGAAAGCGAGTTTTGTTGTGCATTTATATGTATGTGTTAGTGTCCCACAGCAAACACTCAATCAGCACCGAAATCCGGCTGTGAGATCTTTCTCTGTTTTTTTATCCTCAGATTTCAATTAATCTTCTAACAGCGAAGCCTGAGACAATATCACAGCTCAGGAAATGACTTCCTCTTTTCCTCAAGGACGAGGCAGATAAGCACCATCTCTCTCTTTATCTGGTTTCCGTGTCTTTCTCTCTCCACAGCCACTTCACTCAGTGTAGGCGATCATTTAAAGAACTGAGGTGATTTTCTTCGAGGTCTCACAGATAAGAGATGATCCGTCTCCTCGTCGACACGGGCACAAGCAGTGCTCACCGACAAAAACTTTACCGTCTGAATCAAATACTGTCATAGTTACTACAAATATGACAGATTTCACACTGATTTACTTTACCTTTACAAGGATGAACTAATGGCTGTGACGAGATTGTAGTGTGTTTTAAAAGATCTGGAATAATAATAAAAAAAGGCAAAATGCAAAATTTGGGTGTGTAGACATTTCTAGTAGATAACTAACAACAGAACATTTATAAATTAATAGTAACCAAGATTTATAAATTATTGTTCACTAATAGTTCATGATACCTAATGCATAATATTAATGTAAAGAATTTCACAGTAAAGCGTTTTTGGTCACACTTTATTTTAAGGTTCAATTCTCGCTATTAACAAACCATTAACTATGACTTTTGCCTCAATAAACTCCTAATTTGCTGCTTATTAATAGTTAGTAAGGTAGTTGTTAAGTTTAGGTATTGCGTAGGATTTTGAATGTAGATTATGGTCGTGCAGAATATTTGCTTTATAAGTAGGCCTACTAATAAATAGTCAATATGTTAATAATAGGCATGCTAATAAGCAACTAGTTAATAGTGAGAATTGGTCCCTATACTAAAGTGTTACCATATGATTTTTCTTTCTCTCCCAAATATTTCCATTCCACATTCACTTGTTGCATCATTCATGTTCCCATAGCAACCTTCCATCTCCTCTCTTAGCAATGATCCCCCGATGGTTAGTGTGAGTGTGTGTTACTAATACTGATACGAAAATGTGCTGCACTGTCTGTGTCGCTGTGATATTCTGGTCTATAGATACCTGTGAAAGAAAAAAAACAGTAACCTAAAACATCTAAGTTAGCTAGTCAATATTATGTAATATCACTGAATAACCTAAATAGATTAATTTATACCAACAAAACTAAATTTGTGTTTTCATTGAGTGTGATGCGTAAATTTGACAGAATCATAACAGCACAGCTCTCCTCAACAAACCTCATGATCTGATATCTGACCTGTATTAATAATCTCATAACCCCCCTCTGATAGCATCACTGTATCATGACTCAATGATGATGTTTATGTATTAGAATGACTGCACATTCAGACACACAGTCCTAAAAGAGCTGCTATTGTTCAGATCCTCACTAACAAGTACAGCCGATTTCACAGAAGCAAGAAATAGCCACAAACGCTTGTGTAGCTCTGCGGGTCACATCATCAGTGCATGCTGACAGCTGTATTTCTCTCATTAAGGCAAAGGTTTATTTCCCATCCTCCCACAGCCCTATTCATCTCTTCATTCATCACATCTCAATCCCTTTATCCTTCAGAGAAGAGAGAAAATTACTATCAATTAGGATTGAGAAAAAACGAGATCTTAAACATAAAGCTGATTGCAATTTAACTAACATTTTCACGGAGCTTTCAAAATGTGTAATTGTAGCAGAAGAGTTCGTCTGTTTGGGGTCAGTACGGTTTTTTTAGCGTTAAAGAAGTCTCTTCTGCTCATCAAGGCTGCATTTATTTGACCAAAAAAATCAATGAATACAAGTAAATACAAATAAACTGTAATTTATTCCTGTGATCAAAGCTGTATTTTCAGCATCATTACTGCAGTCTTCAGTGTCACATGATCTTCAGAAATCATTCTAATATGCTGATTTGCTGCTCAAGAAACATGTCTGATTATTATCAATGTTGAAAACAGTCGTGCTGCACAATATCTTTGTGGAAACTGTGATACATTTTATTTTTCAGGATTCACAGATGAATAGAAAGTTCAAAAGAACAGCATTTATTTGAAATAGAAATCTTTTGTAACATTATAA